CGCTGAATATCTTGATATCCGGAAACGTCGGCGGCCGCTCGGCGGAATAACGGATTCACTTATAATCGATACACATTTATCATTGCCATTATCGCGGCCGCTCGTAATAATAAAGCACGCGATTTAAACGCGGCAACACGTTCTCGCGCCGGTTACAGAGAGCCCGCCGCTGGGCGCCGATCGATTTAATCGCGCGACGGAATGCGTTTAACACGTTATCAAATAATCAGATCTCGCGGCACAATGGTCGGCGGATTAACCGCCGTATATTATTCGCGTTTCCACGTCACGGGTGTGAATCCTCTCTGGTCGAAGCGCCAAAGGTAAACGGTCCCTCCGAAGCTTCACGTGAGAGAACCACCCCCCCCCCGTCCCCTCTTCCAACGGAAACGCTCTCGGCGTGTACTTACACACTGTCATATTTAATTTAGTGTGCGAATTTTACGCGCACCGCTCGGCCCCGCTTATGCGCGTGCACGCTTATAAATCCCGGCCGGCCGACGTTTTCCATCGCGTGTTACGTGTACACGCAGGGGTTGCAGCTTCTTCGTTCTACGCACCTGCGTATCTTCCTGCCTGCCTACCTACGTACACGTAGCTACCCTCCGTTGGCGCGATGTGCAAACTCCATTATAGGAATTTTCCCCCCGAACGCGAAGGCTGCAAATATTTTACGATCGATCGGCTAAAAAGGGAGAGAAGCGCGCCGGCCGGCGTCGCCCTCCGGCAAGGGCGTCCGAGGGAAATCGCCGGATTCCTCTCACCCGCTCTCTCGTTACGATAGGTCAGCGTTCGAAATTGCGCCGTGAGTCTGCGATGAAGGAAGCCTTCAGGAAGAGGGAAGGGGACGGACACGACCAAATGACATAAATCGCGCTCAAGGAGGTTGTAAGGCGAATTGAGTTCGATAAGAATCCGATGAAGCTTTCACTATGTGCACAATCAAATATTATCCAACTCGTGCAATTAGATAAAGATCGGCCATTCGAGAGCTTGAGATATCTATAATTGAAGTTGACACTTTTTATACGCGTTCCTTGAGATTAGCTGGTTTTCATTTCTATCTTTGATATCTCCTTTTAAACTGAAAATTAATTTTGGATGTAGCCGCTATAATATTAAAGGTCACAATATGCGGGCGTTGTACACAAATTTCCGAATTATTGACTATTCTGTTTTGAAAATGCGAAAGTGTAAAATTCATAACTTATGATAATACTCAAAATACACATGCACATACGTACATATACACGTGTTTAAACACTTGTATATCTCTTTCTATTATCTGTGCGTCTCTATTAGATCAAACGATGCATAAACGTAGCATAGCATTAATAAAGAAAAATCAAAGGTAATATTTATAATATTGTGTATATATGCAGTTACCTCGATTTCGTTTCAAATTAACATTTATTATTTAGGTAGTGAAATAACTATATAGGGACGTAAGTCGCGTGAGAAATACTAAATGTCCCCCTTGACGCATTACTGAAAATACGAAACTGAGCCTTACAACCTCCTTAATGCGTCGCGACCGCACGCGTTTTCAAACGGCGATAAGGGCATCGTGGTAACGCGAAAATAAGCTCCGCTTAGGAATGCGCCGTTAATTCCGTCCTTGGCGTTCCGCCTGCGCTCGGCGCTGCGAGCTTTGGCGATTCGTGCACGGTATGTGTGCTTTCTCTTAATTTTCGAACGCAAATTCTGCGCGCGCCGGCGCGACCACCTCTGCTTTCGCCTCGCGTAATGCATACACGTCGCGGATTATCTCATGTATATTCATTAAAAGGAGAAACAAAAAACGAGAGAGAGAAAGAGAGAAAGAGAGAGGAGGGGGAGTTGTTAATTGGTGCGTCTATCGGATGCGCATCTATTTCGTATGATTTATAGTGTAAATTCTCCCCTCGAAACAAAGGAGCGCCTTTCCGGAAGAAAGCTGTATCCACCGGTGAAGTCGAGATTAATAGCGTTTCTCGTTCAGCCGTCCTGACGTGAATTTACGACGCTACTAATGCAGTTACCTTAAAGTAATGATTTTGAAAACCGAAAGCGTCGCGACTACCGCCCTTTTCGATCCGCGTGCGCGGCATAAGGGAGAAGGTAGCAGAGAGGTAGAGAGAGAGAGAGAGAGAGAGAGAGAGACCGACGAGAAAATACTAGACCGGTACGTTACACGTAATTTACGCGACGCGTTAATTGACAGAGGCCCATTTGTGCGGGCGGCTTGTTACTTATTTAAGACCATTAACGTCACGCGGCAATGTAACGTTACCCTTCGGAGGACGATCGTCACGATGAATTTCTCGCGAGATTCTCTCGGCCGAGCGAGTCTCGCTTCCGCGATTGATTGTTACATCGTCGCGGTAGTTTGAACAGAGTCAGCCTATAGAACAATGATAAGTTCACGGAACAATCCCGAGGTCCTAAGCGACCTCTTAAGCCGCTTATCGACAAACCCCCCACTGTTTTCCGCTTAATTCAAACGGAGTTCACCCGTTAAAGCTCCTAATTCTCTCTGAGACTTGTTGACGAAGCCGGATCGCTCTGACTCGCACGGCGAATCCGCGCTTTCCACCGTGTTAACAGTCGCGACGCCGTTCCTGATCGTTTTTACAACGTGCCGATCCAAATTCAGATTTGATTGTAGCTTAATGAACGGCCGATAGGAAGCGCCAATGAAACGAGGTAAAAGATACACGGAGAAAGATTTTTTTGGGGGTTTGACGAAATTTCTTTAATTGAAACAAATTTCTCTCTCGGAGTGGAGCAAACAAGCGAATGTTTGATTCAACAAACAGGATTGTTTTTAGTTTCTCAAACAATAAATATCTTTTACGTCAAATGACAGATATCTTTTGTATTGTTAGAAGCAATAAATTATTTGAAAGAAATAACACTACGTTAGAAAAATATTAAAAGAAAATAATTCTTTTTGTTTCGGTGGGACAATATTTGGCATATGATACAAATAAATTTTTTTCCTGGAAACGAAATATTTTCTCTAAATAACGCTGTTTTTTTTTCTATGAAACCGCATGGTTTGACTGTAGTGAAACAACAACAGTTTCACTCAAACAAAATGATATTTGATATTAAATCATGTTGTTTATGTTAAACAATCCCAAGTAAAACGAACACGTGTACTAAATCCGAATAAATCTCATTCCCCGTGTACATGCGCCTGGAATTGTATTTATTCACCGCGTACCATTGTTAATTCGATCATTAGTTAAAGTTTCGTGCAATCAAGGGAAGTCGACGGGACAGTCAGAGCGCGTTACAGATGCCGACAAACTTTTCCCGAGGCGGTGGAGAAAAATCAGCGCGCCGAGAATGATGGAGCTTTCGGGGAAACGTTAGGGGAACGCGCGTGCGAAGGAACGAACTGGCGATTACGTCCCTTCTTGTTTCGGTCTGAAAAGAGGTCGGCGAGGAAAGTCGCGGAGGAGGTACGACGAATGTCGGTAAAATTGCGAGAAGCTCCGCGCCGCGCCCGGGCGTACCACTATTCGACGAGTTCCTCGGTTTGAGCACGCCCGCTTTATGCGATTGCGGGAACGAGGCGGGAAAGGTAAGAAGTGGATAGAAGATAAGTTATTGCTCGTCGAGGTATGCGGCTACGTATTTCCTTATACTTCCGCCCGGCATCCTCCGCCCCTTCTCATTCCTTCGGCGTCTATTGTCGGCGGGATTACCGTTGAAGGGTGTTCATGAACGCTGTGGTATTGCGCGCTCGTCGTCGCCGTCGTTCGTCTAGATTTAAATCCCATCAATTTGCGGCCAGCAAATCTTATATAATCACAGCTGGCAAAGCGTATCGCTCCGACTTGACGTTTTATTCGCATCAGCAGCCTGCCTTCTCTTCCTCGACGCGCCTACGCGTCGCCCCGCCGCTTCATCTCCGGGGAATAGTTATACGAGGTGTTCTCTGGCTAACGGTACCACCCTCACTCCCGGATGTCACGGATCTCGCGATCGATTCCTGCCCGATCTTACGTCGACGAGCGTCGATTTTTTCTCACGGACATGCCGCGAAATCGTTCCAAGTTCTAGGCGCGATTTTACTCGCTTATGGATCAGCACGGGGGATGATCGATCCGTCGTCGTTTGTCGGCGCGAAATTAACAGCGAAAGCAACCGAAATCAATCGACGATTTCTGAGTGAAGAAATCATCAAGCATTTCTATTTTTCCGTCGCACCCCCTGAATTACCGTCGACGCGCGCCGGGACACCTTGTATACCACGCTTGTATCAGCGTAGCACGAAACGACCAAGATCCATGGTGTCTCCCTCCGGTCTCTCCGCGTACGGAGCCTCGTTCCCGAAGATGATGATCCCATGAATGAATATTAGATTCTTCGGGCTTAACGCGCAATTGCATACCACTCGCGGATTCGACGGCATTTTTCGTCCTTCCCGGGCGAAACAGGACACGTCACTCCGGGTGGTGTTTTAAAGAAAGGGTCGATTCCACGCGTGCCTCCCGCGTTCCCGGCATTTCTCACAGTCTGGCACCGCCGAGCGTGAAATGTTTTACGGAAGACGCGATCGACGGAGTCAATCCACGCACCGACCACGCCACTTGCCCGCTTGCTTCGTCATATCGCTCGTTTTCTCCATTTTCTTATTCTCTCTTTCGAGTCTCTCGGCGGGCCTGAATCATCCGCGAAGTCCCTTTTCATATTTATCCCCCATGTGCAACACGATCGATCAGGCGCCCACGCGTCCGCTCGATCTCGAAAGAGCGACGAAAGTCCGGGAGAGACGAACGGGGTAGGCGGTGTGACAAGTGAGAACGGGGGAAGGAGGGTTGATAAACGGAGGAGAGAAAGAGGTTAGAAAGACAGATTCCAGAAGCTCTGTACACAGTGGGGAGGGTGTGAAAGAAAAGGGGGACGGGTGAAGGGAGGCGAGGGCTGTTGCATCGGCCGGATTGTGCCGACAAGCGGCGCTCACTCACAAAGGGATAAGTTTGCGCGAGATGATCTTGTCTACGTACCGGGTATCGATTTACCGAGATCGAGGTACTCCCGCACAGACGGGCTCAGGAATCCGGGCGGTACCGCCGGCGCCTCGTTCGTGGGATTGTTCCTCTCGTCTACGGGATCGGCATCGTAGTAATAGTCGTCTTCGGCGGGGTCGAGCGGCTTCGCCCGCTTCGACACCTTGCTGCTCCGACCGCCGCCACGCGCACCGCCTGTGAAAGCAAGCTTCAGTTGTGAAGACCGCCTCTAATGATCGCACAGAGCGTAAAGCTCGACGACGGGGCAAGGGGGAAGAGGGTGGGAAGACCCTGCTGGACCCGCCGTATTATCCTGTAGAGTTTGCAGCAGCCCGAGACACACCTCGGCGTCACGGCGCTCCGAAATCGCACGTTCCGTCGATTCGGGAGTTTTTCCGACGACGAGCCACGAATCAAATTTATCGAGCTCCGAGAGCGCGAGTCAGTTCATTATTCCACGACCGCTGACCTGGCATTCCGAGAGCCCGTCGATACACGTGTGTAATCACGTCGGGAATTTGCGGTATTCGTGAGAGAGAGCGCCGAGATATATTTTCATTCAGCCAGAAGCCAATCCGTGGAATTAACGGCTCTGTTATTCTTTCAATCATACATTTCCGTTCACATTATCAAAGAAAATCATTCGTACGACCGAGGTTCTACTGTTATTCCCTACCTGACGAACCCCGCGTGTGAGAGGCGACGGTGCAGGAGGATGAAGAGGGGGAGGGGGCGAGAGAGGGTCGGCGAGCTGAAAGAAGCGTCGCGCTGCCTCCGGGGGCTCGGTCATTTGAGCAATCTGAAATTTAAATCATTTGAAAATGCAGCCGACCGTTCGTCCTTCCGTCACGAGGTGGTTCCCGGAAGGAAACAAATTTTTACAGTCTCTTTCATTCATGCGGAGGAACATTTAATCGATGTTATACACGCCGCGTTGTTTTTTCCTCCGGGGGAAAACCGCGTAATGCCACGCGCGCTGTACAGAACACGCATACCGCCGGTATTTGCGTTCCAGATGTGCCACGTCCGACGGAGACGCCTATGTATATATATATATATATATATATATATATATATATATATACATATATATACATTGCAGGTTCTCGCTGAATATTAATACGTCGGTCGGGAGATTTTCGCCGAAATCCGCGGCGTTTCCTCGGGGAAACGCCGAGGAATTCGCTTGTTGCTGCGTAAACGGCCGCCGCGTGCGGGAGTACGTCTTTGCCGAATGTCGAATTTTCAGGCACGTCAAACACTCGATAAACTTTCCGGTGATTCTCGACGGGGGAGTATAGGAGAAAGCCGGCCTCGCGAGCTCGCTTGCTCGCTGGCTCGGCGAAAAATGGCTTTCAAACGGCACGTCTCGTCTCGCAAAATTCATTAGCGCGCCCTCCCCGTTAATTCCGACGGAGTTGACGCCGGCTAACGTCGCGGATCACGTCAAGCGTGTGTCTACGAATCGTGAATAACGCGGTGAAGTATCGGTCGACGCGCCACCGCAAAACTTCGCCGGTCCCATTCGTCCGTAGGTGTTTAGCCCGCGAAACTTTGCGCCGCCCGCGCCGTGAATGGACGAAGTTTCGCGCCGGGGACTGGGTCAAGTCTGGGGAAACCTTGGGAGCCCGGTTCTTTGGAATGAAAGTAAAGCGCGCTAATACGAGCGGCGGAAGTTGTGCCGGAAATGGCAGAACCGCGTAATAGCGCGGAGTGTATCGAAAATAATCGGCCGGATATTCGGAGGAGCGCCGATTTCTTGATTAAGGCGAATCTCAGAATAAACACACGAGTCGAAACGTTGGTTCTGTGTTGAATCACTTTAATTCTACCACATCGTAAGAACTAAGGCAGCGAAAGAAAAAAAGAGAATCTCCGATTCTAATAATATAGCTCACCTACTTTGATTCTGACGATGTCTGCAAATTCCGTTTCTGCCGGTTTTCGAGGTAGATTAGACTGTTTTCAAGGTGGCGTTAAAATGTTTAAGTCGTAGAATTAAAGGTTCAAGAAAGAAATTAACAAATGTAATATTGTCGAAGCAGGTATTTAGTCATTTATACATCATTTAAATAGACACAAACTATTTTTGAGAGCGTTCATACGAATTTAATAATCGAGATATCGAGAGCATTTGTAGCTTCAGGATAGCATTGAAATGAAATCTGTAGAGTTAAACGTTCAAGGAGGAAGTTAACGCATATATGACACAATATTATCGATATAATATTGTCAAGGCTTTTGCTGCTATTTTAATACTTGCAAGTGTTGTCTTAACATTTACACATTTTTAAATAGCGACTTGACGCAAAATGTTCAGGTGACATAAACACGATGTATCGAAAGCAACGCCCGGCTGTGTTACGAATTCCACGCCGGAATTTTAACAAGGATCTACCGATCTTAACACAAGTACAAAACTTCACCGTGGGGAGGAAACGGAGATGCGGGAATCCGAGCAGCTGTAAGCGACTATTAGCGCGAGATTATCAGAGTCAAGCCTCTCGCAGAGCCGCGCGCAAAACACACGAGCGAACCCGCGGCCGGCGCGATAAACTCGACCGTAATCACGTCGCGAATCCTTAGTAGGATGTATTATTTTACGTTGCGATGGCGCGCTCGTGGAGTAACACGCTATTTGATGCGCGCGACGGAAGGCGGGCAGGATCCGTATTCATCCTGTTTGATGCCGCCGCTGCGTCCGTGCCGCGGAAGCTAATTAATGGCTCATCGACGAGGCGAACTTTATGCGTCAAAACGCCGCGGATTAATTCGCGAGCCGGGACAACGCATATCCGTACGTATGTGGGATTTGCAATCAGACGCGCGCGAAACATGCGAGGGGCTACGCGCACGTGTCCGTTGCTGCCGGTCGCGCGTGAAGCGCGATTTTAATGTTACGCGGCCCGAAAACGCTCACTGTAAATAATATTAAATAACGCGATATATATCTCGCGGGTCGGACCAGCGCTGTTTAGTGAGCCCCAACGTGTGTAATAAAATATGCTCCCTCCCCTCCCCCAACCCTACCCTCGCTTTTTCGGTGACGATGTCGCGAGCGAGCGCGGGTGCACGCGCTTCCATAACGCCGCGACGAATAATCGTTACGGTAGTGGAAATTTACGCGCCCCGAACGAGAGCACATTCCTTATCGGGCTCTCATTGTTTGCTAAATGTCGCTCTAAAATTCGCCCTGCTCCCCCCACCCCCCCCCTCCCGTAATTCAACGTTAGATACGTGCTAGTGGCGTATCAACGTTAATTCGACCAGTTTTTCGCGCCGCCCGAGCATCCGGTCGATACACTTCCGTCTCCGCGGGGTTGCCGGGGGGATCACGGCAATATCCCGCGCGCTACATTTTTGCCTTTGAGCTATCGTTACTTCGGCCAGTTTTACAATCGCGAGCCCCGCGTCGTCGAGACAACACGGCAGCTCCATCCTGCGCTACGTTTTTGTTTGACGTTGTGTCGCTCGCAAAGAGGGGGAAGGGAGGATCGAGTTCCGGGGCATAATAAATATTGTCTATCCACCCGTTCTCCTCCGTTTTCCATTAAAGGAGCGGCGAGAGAGCGACGCGGAAGAAAAAGAGTCGCGCGCGCGCGTAACTATTTTCTGCGTTTCGCGACGCGCAAATATCCCAGGGAAACGATGCTTTAATATCGCACCGCCGCATGAAAATTCGCCACCAGAGGAGGACGAGGAGAGGGTGTATGCAAGGAGAAAGAGAGAAAGAGAGGCAAACAGGCTGGGAGACGAGAAACCTGCTAGGCAGGTTGCACGATGGAGCTACGAGAGGATCGGCGAGAGGAGAAAAGGAGGAGGCGGGCGGTGGTGAGAATGGTGAAAATGAGAGGGATGGAAAAAATGCGATCGCCTTCCCCTTCGCGCCGGCACATGCGTGGGAAAGAACTGGCCGTGGCTTGTATATCGCGTCGTATCGCAACGCGAACGGAAAAAGCGCCGATGTACAAATACGATCTCGCTAATTCGTATTTATCCGCGCGTGACGCCGATTATGCACGCGCGTGCATCGCGCGAAACGCAGGTTGGGTAACAATGGAAGGATGGGGGTGGAGGTGGATGAGGACCGGGCCGACCTCTGCCCTCCCTCTTCTCTCTCTCTCTCTCTCTCTTTCTCTCTCCCTCTCGTGCGGTGCGGCGAAACGCGTATTATCCGAGCACCGTATTTCCTTGCGCGGGTAGCAGCAACACAGCGGGCTCAAAGGATGTTAAATATGCATTGCGGCAGAATTATGCGACTCGGCAATCGTCCCGCCCCGTTATTAGCCCGTTAACGGAGTTTTGTTACTTGAAACTCCTAAAGCTTTCCGCGGAGGTGTCGGTAGGTGGTCGCGGCGGTGGCGCATCCGGGATGCCCGGGGTGCGCAATTCTCTAAAGCTCTCGACAGTATTCGGCGGTGTCGAGCTTCGTCGAGCGCGTTGCGCTTATCGAAAGAACGTTTCCGCATGGTTTCGTTGAAAACTTCGATAATTGCGTGAGAAAAAGATCGATTGGAGAGTGATTGATATTGTCAAAGAAGCCAGGTAAATTGGAACTAATAACGCTTGAATATCGAAAAATAATGTTAAAAGCTACCTCTTGGTGATATGGAGGAAGGTTGCTGAATTTTTACGCCACGGTGTATTTTGAATAAGAAAGATATTTGCAGTGTCATGCTTGGTTATACTGGCTTAAGGAGTGGGGATGGAAGATGCTGGAACAACGAGGCAGCCATTCCGCTCGGTCTCCCTGAGCTCTGGAAAATAGTGATGCGTGAACATTATTCTTCCTGACATCCGAAATCAAGCGTGAACATTATTCTTCCCGACGTCTCAAATCAATTTTCTTCTGTATCCTACGAACCATAATTTCCAACGTTGCTAATGCGAAGTGCATGTCTTAGCTACAATGCGATGTACTTGCTTGTACCACAAGGAAGTTAACTGTCAATTTTGTGAGCCCACCAGTAATTATATCTAAAGTCCATAAACGTATTTCAATTGTCAATTATTTATTATCGAGTACAATTTCTTTGCTCCACTGTTGTAGTAGATAGTGAACCCTTAGCGAACGAATGCCGCCATATTCGCGAATATAATGTCGCGAATATGGCGGCATTCGTTCGCTAAGGGTTAAGTTTCTTCCACTTTTTACCTTTTCTCACGTTTTGAACAATTTTCTTAGATTGTAGATT